CTGAGATCTTGCATGAATTTTTATAATATGTAAGATAATCTCAGTTTGAGTATGTGCAATATGTTATAACTTTCTAACTCACTGCTTATCATAGGATAGATATTTTTAATGACGTTTCCAATGCATTTGGGGGTGTATATAGGTTACAATCAACACTTCTTTGCTGTGCTAATATATTTCTGCTAGAGATATAAATTATAATAATATAATAATATATATAATAACATGTGAGCAAGTCAGTATGAAAGTAGAACAATTAAAAAAGTCATCAAATTATGCAAATAATGATTTAGACTTATTACATTATTAAATATTTACTCATAAAAAAATATTCTAGAAATCTTAATTAATCTAATTGAAACATGAAATGTCATCTAGGAATGTAGCACTGCAAAGAGTTGTAAAATTATTTACAATATTACTAAAATAACCAAAGCTTATCATGGGAGCTTGTTGACGTATCTAATGTACTGTTAAGCAAGCAATCGATGTTAGTTGTTAATCTTTCTCATATATAGCATAAATGGTCGTCCATTATGATTAATGAAATATGCTTTAATGTGAGGTATCCAATGCAATTCATATAATTAAAAGCTTAAACATTAAAAGCTCAAAAATAACATTATCAAAAATTATAATAAATTTTTACTAAATTGTAATTTTTTTGCTCGTAAAAAAGTTATGGAACAAGTTCATATATTTAAACTATAAATTCATTTATAATTCCGTTAATGTGCTCAATAAGACAAATTCTTAAATATGTAAAATTTATAAATATAATGAAAAATGGTTATAATATCCAAATTTATAGAAATTAATATTATATTCGCTAATTGATATTCATAGCAATTTACTGGTAATTAAGCCATTTCATAAATTAGATGATTGAAAATTCTTATATTTGCAAAATAATAGTATATAACAATAATATATTATATTTTAAAAATTAATCAATTGATATAATTAATCTTTTCTTAATATTAAAAGAAAATATAATCTTTTTTTTTTTTTTGATAAAATAATGATTGTTTCATTATTGAACAATAATGATTTATTAAAATTAAAATATTTATTTTCTTTAATTAACATTAAAAATTTTCATATTATATGAATCATATCTATTTTGATTATCTCATAATCATTATTATTCTAACAATTTAAAAATTTGATAAATTTGTAAATTCAATCATAAAAAAATTTAAATCATATATTTATCATATGATTGTCATATATATAAAAAAGTTTAAGTCATATATTTATTATATGCTCTGTAAAAAAAAATAAATATCTTGTACAAGTAATTGAAATTAAGCTTTTACTAAGTAAATTAATAGCAATTTATAATATAATTGTTTTTTATTTATGTGTACAATATATTAAATTCTTTTCTGTTTTCTAGAAGAAGTTATCTTATATTATTATAAAAAAAGAATGTTAAAAACATGATGTAATATAATTATGTGTACAATTTGCAAATTTGTTCTAAGGTTTTTTAGTATTTTCCTATCTGTATAGAAAAAATTAAACTTATTAATCAATTTTAATAATATCTATATTTTGTTTCATATGCATTATAATATTAAATATTAAATAACAAATCACATATATAATAGGTTATTTAATGAAAATGTTAACAAATATTGTTCAAATGTAAGTTCATGCAAATATTTCATATATTTTCATTTTTTAAACATGACTTTATGATTTATTTATCCAATAATAAAAAATTTTAATTTTTAATGTTGTAATATTATAACATTATAACTAATATTAAAATTTGAATTTAATATTTGAAAAAATAAATTGTATTTCAATATTTAAAAAATAAGACATTTTTATGTCTTGATTATGAGATCAATAATATTTAATCTGATTACAACTTTCTAAATATCTAAGTTATTTCATAATTAAAATTTTCTAAATATATGAAATATTAGTTTTTATTTAGCTGGATATAGTGGACCTTTAATAATAAATTATAGAAAACTAATATATTAGGATTATACATACTATACAATATATACTAAATACAATTATACATTAAATTTAACATTATTAAATGTATATATAAAGTTATTTAAGTGAAAGGAATAGAGTGAGAACTATATTATGAATGAATGTAATGAAGTTTAAATGCAAATATGATAATTGTATATTATCCATAAAATGTAGAAATAGAGTTGTTTACATAAAATAAATACAATGACTTCTTATGCAGCTTAAAAAAAAATTTCATTATAATATATGAAAAAAAGATATAACTTTACAAAATTAAATTTACTATATTTCATTTTTATACCAAGTTGTTTACTCAAATAATTAAAAAAAGAAAAGTATCAATTTGTATAACATTAAATTTAAAGTGTAAGTTAAATTTAAATAGTAAGTTTCAATATATTATATCAATAATATCTTTAAATTGTATTTGATATAAAACATGAAAATTATAATTAAAATTTTATTACAAAATCTGATTATGAAAAAGATAAAAAACAATGACACAAAATTTTGTTATAAAAACAATATATTGTGTTAATTTATCTATTATACAATCATAAATAAAAAATAACAAATTAAATCATTGCATAATTATTGCACAAAACAATCATTATTAATGAATTGTACATATAATTGATTATTATCAATCATATGCATTATGATTAAAAAATAATGAAATATAGGATAGTTATAATATAGTTTGAATTATGTACAATTATAAGTATATATATTATAATATGATAATAATAATTTTATGCTATATGATATATTTCAAGTGTAGTTTAGTATTATTTTAAATTTGTTTTATGACAATGTACATGCTCTTTAAGTAATATTGTTTTTATGAAATAATTAATTTCTCTATATCTCTTTATATTCAATCATCTGTATTCAAAGACTCATATTTAAAATATAAATTTTAAAATTGTGTTTGTAATACAATTTGTTATTAGTATAACAAAAAAATAATTAAGTGTAGATATTTAGTTGCATGTTATGTATAATAGAATTATAATACTTTATAAAAAATTAAATTTTGAAAAAATAAGTTTGTAATATTGATTAGTTAATATATTAAAATCAATTATTATATTTATTCTTTTATATTTATATTTACTTCATTTCATATTTATATTTATATTGTTCTTTATTGCATTTTTTTTTAAATAGATTATTTTATTATGAATAAAATTATGAATTTTTATTATTTTTATTTATTATAATTAAGAAAAAATACAATTAAACTATATAAATTATAGACTCTTATTATATATTATATTTATTATATATTATATATTTTTAATTAAAAATTTATTTTATTTTATAAAATTTTAATAATAATATTTGGATTTAGAAAATTAAATATATTAAATTGCATTTCATAATGTATTTACAGTAAATTAAATTATTAATTATCAAAAAATCATTAAATGTCATCTTATTTTATTAATAAAAAATTAATAAAAAATTTATTTTTTTTGAACTATCATAAATATTATTAGAATTATATTAAAATAATTTTAACATTCATATTATTTTTTATTAATTTAATTTATAAATAATATTTTTCTATTTTCTATGTTACAAATACATTTCAAATATAGAATTTTTTAATGTTAAAATTAGAAAATTGCATTAAATTATAATTTTTTTATATTTTTGTATAATTGGTAAAATATTTCACATTCATATATTTCAACTTTATTTTAAATTAAATTTTTAGAATATATTTAGGTCATATTATATTATATCAAATATCAATTCAAGGATCATAATAATACTATATTATATTTAATAAAATGAAAAAAATATATCCGTTTTATTAACAAACAAACTTGAAAAGCTATAAAAAATAATATACTTATATAATATTATAATGATTATAAAGTTACATTTTTATAAAGTTTTTTATGAATAACACATAATTACTATTCAATCTGTATGAAAATATATATTAATATTTGTTCTTTATAATAATATAATATATTTACAATGTAATTATTCTTTTACATATTTTTATTTTTTATTACATTGGTTATTGTAAAATACTAGTATAAAAATATATTAATCCAAACTTTTTACATTTTAAAGATTCTACTACATATATATTGTATAAATCTTAATTAAAGTTTCCTTGTATAAACATATAAATTAAAAATGATTACAATATATAATATATAAAATATATATGTATATAATTAATTAAATGTTATAAAAAAATAAAATATAATTCTGGACCAATATATATATTAAAAATAGTTTGAGTTATACATATCATGATATTTAAAAATTATAATGTAAGTAAATCAAAATGTAAGTAAACTTTAACATTAAAGATTATATGTTTTTATATTTTAAAATTCTACATGTTCATTATCATTAAACAGAAATAAAAATAATACATTTTAAAAAAATTTATCGAATTATAAGTAATATTTAATGATAATATCATTTGTTTTTATATTTTTAAATTCTACATGTTCAATATTTAATCAATATTAAACAAAAATAAAAATAATGCATTTTAAAAAAACTTATATAATATATGATGATGATACATATTATTACCATTGAATGTTAATATATTAATGATATAGAAAACGAGTCTTGAACATAACTTCATATGTGCCATTAATGATGAAAATATCCTTGATATAAAAGTGATATTGTTTTATTTTATTTTCACAACTAAAACAAATATTTGTTATTAAATAAATAATATTATATTTTCAAAAGAAAATATTTTTAAATCAAAAGAAGATTCAATAAAAATTAAATTAAAAAAAAAGTTTGTAAATTATATAAACAAAATATATATAATAATAATTAACATTTTTACAAAATATAAAAATATAATATTTTATAAATATTATAAAAAAATGTATAAAATATTGTAAAATAAATTATATACATTAAATCGATCTTAAAAATATTTTATATTACATTTATGAAATTAAAATAGATTTTCAAAATTCTATTGAGAAATTTTAAAAATATAAAGGTTAATTAATTTGTGGATTAAAAATATGTTTGAGGATTTTTGGTAAAGTCTTACCATCTGGTTTATTATCATCAGATTCATTAAATTCTTTATAATTTTCAGGTATTGGATGTGGTCCTGGATGTCTCAAATCATTTGTTTTATCTTGAACTTCTTTGAATGATGCTTTAATATTATCTAATGCATTACCTAATCCTGTTTTGATTTGATTAAATTCTTGTGTCACCAATGAGAGTCTTCCTAATAGATAATTTAAATTTTCGTCAACTTCAGTCATACGTTTTGTTATTTCACTTACCTATAAAAATACATATATAAATATTATAATATATAATATATAAATATTCAATATATTAAGCATTTTATTTTATTTATCATTTAATTTTAATTTTTACTTTAGTTTCCATTCCACCCATAGTAGAAGTTGTACCATTAACATATTCTTCATTTTGTTTATGCAATTTATCTAATGCTTTTGCACTTTCTGTCATCTGTTGATACATGACATTTATTTGTCGCCACACCTTTTATAAAAAAAGAAAATGAAAAAAACTTAATACGATGTTTAAAAATAATTTTCTAGAAAAATATATAGTATAATCACTACCTGATTCATTTCTTGTTCCATTTTAGTAGTTAAATTTGCTAAAGCTCCATTTTGATTGTCCATAATATCATTTGATATGCCATCAAATCTTTGATTCAGAGTATTATTAATATTTGTACTTTGTGCTTTTACTAAATCTCCTACTTCTAAAAGAATTTGATGTACACCATATTCAACTCTTTTTTTAGTGTCTAAGACATGATCAGCCATTGATACTATTACAGATTGTCCTTTTTCAAGATCATTTAATTCTTGATTTACATGTTCAGCATTATTTGCCAAATCCATTCTAAAATCTCGGAAATACTCAATAAGATTTTTTTATTATTAAATTTTCGTAAAAATTTAATAATTTTAATAATCGAAAAAAGAATTAATTAATAATTTATTTATAATATTCCCAAAATATGTTTTTATTAGTTATTTAATGTATTTTATTCTATAATTTTTTTATTTTACTATATAAATCTTTATGATTATTCTCAACTCAATGATTAATATATAGAGAAATTTAAAATTAAGAAAATATTAAAAAATTATTATTAATTAATATATTGTAAAGATATTTAAAATTTTATGTAAAATTTTTAATTAATGAACACATAAAAAGAATAAATAGAATAAATAAAATAATAATAAAAAAAGTTACATATATTGTAGGAATATCATAAATTAATTGCATTTCTAAAATAATTAAATTGAAATATATTTTAGAAATATATTACTGTACAAAAATACCTAAGTACTCCTATAGTATCTTTAGTTTCATTTTTAGTTCTATTAATTTATTTTCAATATCATCAACTCCTTTAGTAACAATATCTTTTAAAGTATGCTTTGTTCTTGTAAAAGTATTTGAGTTTTATTATGTAAAGTTTGAATTTCAATAGTCCTAAATAACACAATATTCATAATTTTAATTTAATAAAATTTTAATATTTAATAATTTTTTTTAATGATAATACATTATTGACAAAAATATAAATAATACATACTGTGGCAATTCTTTAATTTGTTCAGAAGTATCATCTAAAAGTTTCTTTATAGAAGGTAGTATTTTTGTATAATTATCAATATTTGAAATAGTATCAAATTGAGAATCTTGTAATTCTTTTTTATGTTTTGTGATTGCTCTTTAACTTTTTCCAATGAAACTTCAAGACCACTGAGCCTTGAATTAATATCTTGAATCTAAAAAGTATTTAATATTAATGAATTTCTTAGTATTTTAGTGTGTTATTTACCTCTGTCAATAATACTTGTGTTGTTCCTGATTTATCATTTAATCTTGAGTTGATATCTTGGATCTAAAAATTATCTAATTTTAATAAGTTTCTTAAATTGATATTTAAATATGTTATTTACCTCTGTCAATAATGCTTGTGTTGTTCCTGATTGAACATTCATAGTCTCTTTTAATTTTATTGCTTCAGATTTTAAAAGTGATTCTGTTTTTGAAATTCTATTTATTAATATTAATTCTGTATCATTTAACTTTGAAATAATACGAGAGAGATTGTCAAATGAAGGTAATGTAGTATCTGATCGACTATTTATTTCTGATACTTTATTTTCAATATCTGTAAGCCAACCTTCTAAACGATTTTCTAAATCTTCTAGACTATCAACAGTTTTTTGCATTTGTATTCTTTCTCGTTCATCTCTCTATAAAACAAGCATAAGTTTTTTTTTATTAAAATTTGATATGTTTCTCTTTATATTTATTTAAAGTTTTGATTTAATTAATTAAATACCTGAGAGATTAATTGTTCTATTCCCATAACTTTTTCATCAAGTTTAGTTAATTGTAGTTTTAATGAATCTATAGTTGACATACGTTTTGTCAAAATTGGAATTATTTTTTTTAATTGTTCTCCTAATTGACGTTCTCGTGCTTCATGTCTTTCTAATTTTTCTGTATTATCTCGCATCATATGTACTAAACTTAACATTGCATCTTTAATATCTTCATGTCTAAATTATATAAAAAAAAATATATATTATTATATGTTATTTATATATTAATGACAAAAAAGTAAAAAAAAAATAGAAGAATACATGCAAATTTAACAAAATGATTATTATTTAATTTTTCATTTTTATATAATAATTTTGAATTACTTTAATGAATTACTTATAATGATTACTTATAATGAAAAAACTTACGTAATTTCTCTAGCATTGTTAAAATCAAAACAAAGTAAAAATAATATTAATATATACTTCATTTTGAACTATTGAATATATAAAAAAAATTATCTGAAACAAACAAAAATTAATTTCTATAATATTAAATGTCTTTTTTATATTATTTATTATATAGTAAATTATTTTATTGTTTTAAATAAATTTATTTTTATTTTGGCTTTTTTATTCTTTTATTTTGGAATAATTTTATGAAAACTATGTCATTTCTATATTGAAATTACTGAAACAATTACTTAGATACTATATGTTTAAAATGAGTGAAACACTTCCTTTGATCAATTAATTGAATGTGCTGTTATTGAGATAAGCTCTTAAGAGGTCATTACTGATGACTCTTTGATGGATAAGTAAACTATCTTTGTTAATAAATTATCATAATAATTAAAGCTTTCATAGTTAATGATTAAAATCCTTGCATTTGAATAATAATAAATAAAAATAATTTCAATTAATATATAATTTAACTATATAAATTAAATTATATGTATTTAAATAAGTATGTATATATGTGAGCACATGTGCATATGACATTGTATGAAGAAAGAAAAAAGGAATTCAAAATATTTGTATTCTTTTTTTTTTATTTTATATCTTTATTATATAATATTAAAACTAAATAACAATACATTTTAATTTCATATTATTAGTTTTTAGATAAAAATACATTTTTATTAATGGATAATATAAAGAAAATTTATTTTAGTTATTTATAGATCTACAGATGCATATCAAATCTATTTAATGATGCCATATGATCTATTTAAAACTATTTATTCTTGATTCAACAAAATTCGGTTTTATTAATAAATTTATAAATAAATATATATATATTAAAATATTTTTAATATATGAATATATAAATATAATATAATCTATGTATCGAAATGTTCTTTTATCATAATAATTTATCTATCATAACAGAAAAAGAAAGGGAAAGAGAGAGAGAGAGAGAAAGAGACAGTATAGTAATTAAAAATATATTCGTATTGTTGTAATAATTCTATACGCAACAATAAAATATATAATTTTACTTTTTATAATATTTTAAGTGCCTTTTTATTATTTGTTAAATTAATTTATATTATTGAAATTTCAAAACAATGTAAATAATCATATCAAAAATGCGTTTAGTAATATGAATTTATTTACATCATATGATTTTATTTGTACATTGTTAAATATTAAATATCGATATATATGAATTTTTTTCTAATAAAAAAAATGAATAAAATTGATCTTATTTATCATATCTTTTTTTATAAATTTCATTCTTTTTAAAATAACACTTACAATTTTACATTAAGTGTTTTATAATGTAATTTATTTTATATAATATTATATTATATTAATATTATAATATCAATGATATATTATTATCATAATAATTACTATAATGACCACCATTTTAAAGTACAGATTCAATTATTTAAAATGAAAATAATTAATTATTCTCTTAAAATAATCTTTTATATATATATATATTATATTTATTATTTTATTTTAGAAATAAAAATAATTATTTAGAATAAAATATGTTTTTGTAATTTAAAATAATTATTAACATTAAGAAAAAATTAAACTTTTAAAATAAATTAATTAAAATAACAATGTTTAAAAACAATATTTCTAAAAAAATTTTTTAGAAAATTTATTATAAATATATTTATAAATATATTTTATAAAAATAATTTGTATTAAACAAATAATAAAATAATTAATAAAATTAAATATATAATAAAAAATTTATACTATTAAAAAATAAAAAATAAATATTATCAATAAAGATAAATACGATACATTAAATTTTAAAAATATAACATCAATTTTACTTACACAAATAATATTTGTGTTTTAAATCCTTTGTCACAATTGAAGAATAAAGAACGCACTGTTTTCTCATTCAATCAGCGAAGAAATGATTGTGGTATCATTAGGTAAGTCTACATTTGGATTTTTAAAAAACTAACTTAAGGTATATGCTATTCTCTAGCGACACATAGCGGTTATTTTTAGTACTGAATAAAATACAATATTTAACACAATGTTAAATATTAAATTTTAATGTAATTATTTTATGTCTTTATTATATAAAATTGAAATATTTATATAAAATATTTAATTTAGTTTTAGTTTTATAAATTTATAATTTATAAATTATACATAACAATAATTATATAAATTTATTATTTTATTTTAACATTATGTAAACAACATTACTAAAGAAATTTTTATTTTTTATTAAAATTAAATAAAATTAAATAAAAAGAAGCTATTAAAAGATAATAATTTATATTTTTTTAGAATATTTATTTAAAATTTATTAAATAATTTCTTAGGCAAAGTAAAAATTAATGTAACGTAAAAAATTAAAAAAAAAGAAAAATATTGAATATTAATATTTTAAAAAAAATTTTTTTAATTTTTAGTTTATTTAAATTGTATCATTGTAAAAATATATATTATATTTGTATAATAATGCTGTAATATAATTTATAATATAAATGTAACATTAAAATAAAATAAAATTGTTAAATATTTTAAAAATTTTTATTCAAATTTTTTTAAAAGTTTTCTAATTATTTTTATCACAACTTGAAACTTTTTTTAATCATCTATTTATTATAATTTAAAATATATTATATATTTATCTAATTTATTTTAAATTATTTAAATTATATTATATTATATAGTTATATTATATTATATATTATATCATGTACTTATATTATTATTTTATATATTTACACTTATATGAGTATTATTAACTTAAACTTAAAGTGCGATTATTATTTAGTTTTATTATAATAAAAATAGTTTTATATATTAAAAAAAAATGTTTTCCTTTATTTTATTATTATTTTTTTTTTTAATTTAAAATTCGTTTAAAGAATTGATTTTCTATTTCGCTTTCTCTTTTACTACATGTATAATATAAAAATATTAATAATTTAAATTTAACAAAAAATAAGTATAAAATTTTAGATTCCAAATAAAAAATTTAAAATAGAATAGATATTCTTTTGTAGAATAGAATGGCATTGCCATCTATTAATTAAATGATCATTTTATTTGACTATACAGTGAGATTATGAGACTTTTCTTTCATAGGTTATGTTATTTTATAGGTTATATGTATAATGATTGTTTCTGCATATAAATTTGCTTCTATTACTTTCTATAATATTATTTATAAAATGATTAATTATTATATAAGTGAATAATTTTATGTAATCATATGAAAATGTATAAACTTTTGGCAACACGAGTTACAAAACGAATATCTTCACATGGTGTTTATTTTGTATCAAGACAAATAATTGTGCAACGATCAACACATTTGTGTTCTTTCTGTAATTTTTATCACGGAAGAATATCAAAATGTATGTTTAATAATAATATTAACAAATTTATGAAATATTTTAAAACTTAATATAATTTAATATTTCAATTTTATAAAGTAATTATTATTATCAATATATGGTTTAAGTTATAGTATTAGAATATTATTTATTTATTTAGATATATGTTTATTATTTTTTTCCTTTTAGTAATATTTATTTTTCCATCTTTATTATTTATATTTTTAAATATATCCATAAGTATATAAATATATGTAATTTTTTACATTATTTATATTTATATTTATTTATATTTTTATATTTCACAAAATGTTTTATTATTTTGTAAAAAAAAGTGAATTTTAAAGTAATTACTTAAGATGATTATTTTAGATATTGAAATTTGAAAATGAAGTTAATAAAGCTTTCAGAAAAAAATATATAGCAAAATCGTTTATTTTAATTATAACTTTATAAATATTTATATAAAATAATAATAAAAATATAACGTCATTTTTGAAATATTCTGAAAATTGTTGAAATATTTATATATGTATTCCAACAATTTTCAGGATATTTCAAAATTAAAAAATTATTAAAAATTTATATATATTAAATATTTAGTTTGAATAAATGAATTAATTTAAATACAATATTTATTTAACTGATATAAATATAAAATTTATATTTATTTATACAAAAATAAAATATAATGTAAAATATAAAATTTAGTTTCATATTTATATTTATATCTAAATTATTTATATTAATAAATTTAATTAATATATATATAATGTAATTAATATAATGTAAATTCATTTTATTTATAGTTTTAAAACATCATCAAATTCGTATTTATACTACAACAGCAAATATATTAGATAATTTACCAAAAAAGAAAGAAATTAAGGAAAGAACAAAAAAATATGCTGAACTATTAGCAGGTAAAATTTAATATTAATTTTGAATAAATGAATTTAAAATTATTTTTTAATATAATATTATTCTATTGTAGTAACAAATGAAACGGCAAGTAATAAAAGGACTGAAATACAAAAATTAACAGCATGTGATTTGTCCATGTTTGTTGATAACACTACTACTATAGATGATTCATACAATGATAAAAATTCTATATTTAATCATTCTCTTAATTTAAAATTTACTGAAAATTATCATGATTTTTATGATAATGAAATTTATTTAAATTTTGTAAGTTATCATATTAATTTATTTTTTATTGACTATTTTATTTTAGATCATGTTTTATTTAAAATATTAAGATATGAGATAGTTATTTAAAAATGGTAATGTAATATATTTAAAATTTTAATATTATTAAAAAATAAATTAAATTATTTTTAAAAATAAAGTAGGATATAAAAGAAATAATTTATTTTTGTAAATAACATAATTATAATAATAATTTGTAAAATATTGATCATAATATTACTATAATTAATATATTATTAAATTTATTTATTTTTTAATTGATTAATAGGAAAAAAAATATAGATATAGTTATTGATAATAAAAATGAAATGAAAAATTACAAAAATTTTTATAATAAAAAGAAAAATAAAAATTCAAATGTTTGTAATGAAACTAAAAATAATTTTATCACTCATTTTGTTAAAGAAAATAAATTAATAAAAAGTAAGAAGATTGATAATTTAAATGTGTAAGTATAATAAATATTTACTTTTTTATTCATCAAAATGATATATAATAGTATTTATTAAATTTACTTTATTCTTTGTGTATTCTTTATAATTAGACTATCAATGTTTATATAAATTTATGGATTTTACAAATTTTTATATGAATTTTATATGAAAGAAATAGAATTTAAAAGACATAAAGATAAATATAACTAATAGTATTTAATTTTAAATATTTTTGCATATTTTATAATTTTTTATAAATATATATAGATTTATTCAAGATATATATCAAAATGATATATAATTTCATTGAAAAAAAATGAGATATTTCAATGTAAATTTAATTCTGTCACAAAAAAGAAAATATTTATCATTTCATTATGTTTTAATTATTATTCTATTTATGATTAATTATTATTCTATTTTTAAAATTATTATAATAAAAATATATTAGACAAAAATTAATTAATTGATTTTTTATAATATTAAAATTATAATATAAAATTTTTTATAATAATATAAATATAATAAAATTCATAAAATATATTTTTTTCTTATATTTCATTGATTTCTTATATATTTAAATATATGCTTATTGAATATTTTTTATTACTTATTAAATTTTGCATTAATTATTATTTTTGTTCAGAAATGCAGTACAAAAAAAATAAATTTACATAAGATCCCAAATAAATATGAAATACGAAGTTATGTTGAAAATTTAATAGTACATATACAAATTTATTTAAATTGTGGTTTGTTAAATAGAGCAAATAATACATTAATGAAATATAGGAAAAAATATATTCAAAATTGTGATAAAAACATTGAACTTTATAATATGCTTTTGGAAGCTTATGCTTCTAGAAGAAAAGTAACAAAAGTTTTAGAGTTATATGATATGATAAAAGAAGATTCCTTAACTCCAACACCACAAACTTATGTATATATATTTGATGTTTTGGGGAAAGGATCTACAAGTAATCAAATTGGTAATTATATAAATTCTCCTCTAATTTATATTCATATATTCATATTCTAATATATATTCTTCTTTTATATTAATTTTTAAAAATAAATTTTCTATCTGTAAAATATTTATATATTAATAATCTTTTTTATTTTTAGTACTATTAAAAAAATTAATAATGAAATGAATAATTATAATATATCTTTCGATGACATCATTAATAAATCATATTTTAAAAATGATCAACAAGAAAATGTATTAAAAGCAATTAGGATATTAATACCAAACTTTAAACCTTCTTCTATAAATATAGATACAATGTACAATTGTAAACTTCTAAACCAAATTCCAATGTCAAATAATTATGAAAGTCCAGTGAAAGAATTATTAACTAAGGAAGAATTAAAAGATCTCTTAAAAATACAACTTCAAAATGAATTAGCAATTGAAATACAGATACCAAGTATTAAATTAAATGAAAAAAAATGCTAATATAGTAAGATATTATTGTGTAATATTATATTATTAATATTTTATTATTTAATATTTCAAATATAATTATTTTTATAATTATAAATTTAATTATGATTTTTATCTTCAAGATGTAATAATATCAATTATTCTTTTTTTTCTTTATATTATAAGGAAAGAATTATGGAAATAGAAAATTATTGGAAAAAAGTAGCATTTACAGCTTTTGAAAGGAATTTAAAATGTTTAAAAGAAAAGGAATGTCAACAACATAATTTGATGGTTTTATATCCCTTTTTAGAAGTTTTGGATAAAGAACATTATATAAATGCTATATTGCGAGAAATTAAACAATTAGCCATAGGATCTGATACTTATAGTACATCTCTTAAATTATTATATATAACATTAGGAAAATATATTTATAAAAAATATGAGGTATGAAATTATTTTAATATATTTATTAATAAAATATTTATGTATTTTATTTCGATTTTAATGCACATTAAATTTTTATAACTTATAGATCGAAACAAAAAAAAAAACTGGAGTTTTAGATAAAATAATTAGTACTTATTTAAGGTATCTTGAATGGTATTTACATCCTGAAAATAAGGCATATTTAAATAATATGAATAATCGCACTATATGGCAATATTTTGAACAAGAAACAAAATATAATGCATCTTTAAATACTGTTTGTTTAGAATGGCCTATAGATGTAATTATAAATGTTGGTAAATTTTTATATAAAATTATTTTGAATGATATAATGCTTCAACCTGAAATGTTGAAAGGACAAGATATAAAACATTCTATTCCTGCATTTTATACATTATTTAGAACAAAGGAAATTATTTATCAGAACAGGTTTGTATATGCAAATTAAATATTAAAATATTTGAAATTTTATAGCATCTGATATTGTGCTTTTTGAGAATATCAGATTTCATTTTCTTGATGTATAGAAATTAATACTTAGGAATTTTTCTCATATATAAAATTAAATATTACATGAATATTGTTTCAATAATTATTTTTATGTTACAGGTTAAACCTCATCCTTTTTTATCAAAATTATATAAAAAATCATATATACAAACATTAACTTTTGATGTACAACTTTTACCTTCTTATAGTCCACCGCTTCCATGGACTTCGATACATTCAGGAGGATATCTTATAACAAAAACCGACTTTGTAAGATCTCCTAACATTGTAAGTTTTCTATTTTAATTTATTTTTTAAATATATATGTATAATATCTGATATAAGAAAAAAATGTTTATTATATTTATATGTATAATATTTTGAACATTATTTTAATAATATATAATACATAAGCATAATGTTCATACTTGTTATTTAGGATTATCAATTTCAAACTACAAAATCTAAACAATTATTTCCTATATTTGATTCATTGAATCAAATTAGTTCTATTCCATGGAAAATTAATATTGCTATACTCGATATAGTGATTAAGGTAAATTTCTATTATTATTATTTAATGAATTATTATCAATAAGAAATATTAAATATTAAATATTATAATATTAAATTATTATAAATAATTTTTATTTATATATTTTTATTCTATTTTTCATAAGATTTTTCAAGATGGTGGTTCTGCTGAATTAAATGTTCCTCAATCAGTTTCTGTATTATCTCCACCATGTTCTTTAAATAAAAATGCTACTATTGAAGACAAACAAAAAATAGCAATAATTATGGCTCAATATAGACAAAAAAAGAGTGATATGTATTCTCTATGGTGTGACACTCTTTATAAGCTATCTATCGCTAATCATGTATGTTTTCATTATTTTAATATAATAATTTATTTTTATTATACTATAATTATTATTAATAATTAGATTATCATTATATTAGATATGAAATAATTATATTAAGAATTTTATTAAATTTTTTAATTCTATATTCTATATTTTTAACTGTTCTTAATTATAGTTAATTTATTTTATTTTAATATTTTTATATATTTTTCTATTTGTTGTGTATGTATCTATGTGTATATAATAACTTATTCTTATTTTAAAGTTTAGAAACAAAATATTTTGGCTACCATATAACTTGGATTTTAGAGGAAGAGTTTATCCAATTCCTCCTTATTTAAATCATTTATCATCTGATTTGGGTCGTTCTTTGCTTTTATTTGCAAAGGGAAAACCTCTAGGACCAAATGGAATAAATTGGTTAAAATTACATGTTATTAATTTAACTAATTTTAAAAAGGGAAGTTCTCTTGAAGAACGTCTTGAATATGCAAATCAAAATATGGATAATATAATAGATAGTGCTACTAAACCTTTAACAGTAAGTTATTATTTAAAAAAATATTTTTTTAATTTATTAAAAGATAAAATAAAATTGTGTAAAATATTCATAATTATTGTTTATATATTAAAAGTTTTTATAGATGAAAATTCAAAATGAATATTATTTTCATATAACTTCTTTCAGTGATAATTTTTAAGAGTAAATTAATATACATATGATTTCTTTTAATTAGAATGTATAAAATAATTTTAATTAGAATTAATATTTGTATTGTGAAGGGTAAAATGTGGTGGAAACAATCAGAAGAACCATGGCAAACTTTAGCTGGATGTATAGAAATAGCAAATGCATTAAAATCACCAAATATAGAAGAATATATAACTTCGTTTCCAGTACATCAAGATGGAAGTTGTAATGGACTGCAACATTATGCAGCTCTTGGTAAAGATCAAATTGGGGCAAAAAGTGTTAATTTATATCCATTTGATGTTCCAAAAGATGTATATTCTGAAGTTTTATCAATTGTAAGTTTTTAGATATTTAAGATATTATATTGATTTAAGTTTTTAGATATTTAAGATATTATGTAAAAATATAAATATTTTCAAAGAAAAAATATTTATTTATATTTTAGATAGAAAATCAAAGACAAATTGATGCAAAAAATAATGTTAAGATTGCGCAATTATTAGAAGGATTTATAAAAAGAAAAATAATAAAACAAACAGTAATGACAACAGTATATGGTGTAACAAAATATGGTGCAAAACATCAAATAGCAAGACAGTTACGAGGTATACATTTAATTATATTCTCTCTCTCTCTCTCTCTCTCTCTCTCCTCCTCCTCTCTCCCTCCCTCCCTCCCTCCCCTCCCCTCTCTAATATAGACATAATAGATATATTTATTAAATATTTTTATATTAATAAGTACTATAATATTAATATTTTATGTAGATACACCAAATTTTCCGCAAGAATATATTTGGCCTGCTAGTATTTATTTGACGGAATGTACATTTTACAGTTTAAGAAAAATGTTCAAAAGTGCAAAACAAATTCAAGATTGGTTTACAGAATGTGCTCGAATTATTTCTTCTATTTATTGTGAAAATGTGGAATGGATTACTCCATTAGGTCTTCCTATTATACAACCTTATATCAAGCAATCAACATCAAATATATATATTAAAGGAAATGGTTAGTAAAAATATATAATTTTTTTAAATATTTGTTTTAATAAATATTATGTGCTTCAAATTGATTTCATTATTTAATATTTTAACATTTAGAAATAATATTTTTAGAAATGATTTTTTTTATATATATAGGAAATCTGATACAATAAAACAGCGGAATGCATTCGCACCAAATTTTATACATTCTTTGGATTCTACTCATATGATGCTTACTAGTTTACATTGCAATTCAGAAAATATTACTTTTGTCTCAGTACATGATTGCTTTTGGACTCATCCTTGCACTGTAGATGCTATGAACAAAGTAAGTAAAGTGTAACTTTAAGTATATAAATAAAAGATGAAAGTAACTTAAATTTTTCTGTATTCTTATATATGAATAATTATTATATTATTTATAGATATGTAGAGAACAGTTTGTAGCTCTTCATTCTAATCCTATCCTTGAAGATTTAAGTAAATTTTTCATAAAACGATATTTACCAATTTATGAGTAAGTATTTATCAATCTATCAATTTAATATTCACAAAAATAAAAAATATGTAGATTATATATTTATATTAATATTTTTATATTAATATATAGTTACATTATAAATAATATTTAATCTAAATATGATATAATTTCAGAAAACTAAAATATAAAAATAATGACATAGAAAAAATACACAAACATTTAACTGATGTACCATCAAAAGGCACTTTCAATATTCATAACGTTTTGTCATCTACTTATTTTTTTAATTAAATTTTTACAAATCTTAAATATTTTATGTAAAATGATAATAAAAATAAATTATAATCTAAAATATAATTCTTATTATTTATTATAAAATATATTCTTATTATTTCTTATTATTTATCCTATTTTTAATATATTTTAACAGCGGCATTTAATATAAATATCTATAAAGTTATATTATGATTATAATTATATAATTATATATGCTAATATATATTATATGCTATATATGCTAAAATTAACAAATAAAACTGAAAATTTCAGTTCTTTGTAGATATATTTTACATAAATTTAAATATTTACATTTTTTTTACAAAATTTTTTTATTATAAATGATGAAACTTATATCAATAATTTACAATTTATAAATAAATAAAAATTTAAAAAACAATATTCATAATTCTTTATAAATATTATTGAATTCTTATAAATTTTACTTTTGACAAAATAATAAGTAATTTAAATAATAAATTTAAGTAAAATATTCATTTCTTATAAATATTATGAAATATTAAAATATTATAAATATGGTTGCCATCCATAATATAAACGACAAAGATTTATAGGATCGTGAGCTTGTTGTATAAGTCTTTCAACTTGACCAGATACACTTGACATTAATCCTTCTTCGGTACCCTGTAGCTTTTGTTCTATTCTGAGAAGAGCTTTTTCTGCTGACTTATTAGTTGCTATAGAATCTATTAATAACATATTTTTTTCTTAATATTAATATATTATAATTATTAATATTTTAAATTTATATTAATATTAATTATATTATATTAATATAATATTAAACTATTAATATATATACAAAGTATCTCAAAAATATTGAAACATTTGTTAATATATGAAGATTTCTAAGATAATTTCAAGTAACTTTTCTTTACAAAAACTTTCATTATAACTTTGTTAGATTTATTAAAGAAAAAACATTAGCTATTTATAAAACGCCTAGTCTAATCAAGCCACGAATAGCGTTCTATATACTATTGACCGAACATGAACAAATTTAAGTAATATATGTCATAGAAAATATGTTGAATATGAGATATAATATATGAATATAGATATGTTATTAATAAAATATTATATCAAAATTATATCACAAAAAGTATAATATTCAACATACATTATTCAACATATATTGGTTTGTATTCAGTCCCCGGCATGTGGTATAGTACTGAAAAAAAAAAAAATGTAAAAGTAAAAATTATATTTACATTGATTATTTTCAATTAATCTCGATGAAGTTCCACTTTGTATATCATGTGCTTTTGCAGGTGTTATACTCCATTTAAATAATGGATCATATAAGAGAACTTGAAGTAATGTTATAATTATTTGTCTTTGATCACGTAATACTGTTAATGTTTTCTCACAACAATGTCTCATTGTACCTTCTACACCAGATACACCCATTCCTATTTCAATATTTTGTGTAAGTCGAAATGGAATAGTTTCAGGAATTGGTAATACTTTTCCCTGTTCAAATGCTATACCTAGTGAATTTAATAATATATAATATAAAAATTCCATCATATTTATGGAATTGTATTATAAAAATTATATAATTCTATTTACCAAAATCAATATGAATTACTTCAGCAGTTGCTTGATCAATTAAGATATTATTTAAATGTCTGTCTCCTAATCCTAAAATATATCCAGCCATAGATGTTGTTGCTATGCTATAAAAATACATGAATAGATAAAATGTAATAATATAATAAAGTATAAATATAATATTTATATATTGTCATACATATATCATTCAATTTATTAATAATAAATTATTACCTGCGGATATATGCTAATCTGCGTTCAAACCATGTTTCAGGTGATGGATATTTTTCAACAAAAAAGTGATGCATTACTGGATGCATATGAGTACAGCAATCCATAAATACTTTCAATTTTACTTCAGTTGATGATTTTCCTACAGCCTAAATAAGACATATTATATGTATGTTTAAAATAAAATATCTTATAATAAATACATTTATTAAATATAAATGTATGTATTTATTATAAGATATGTACAAATAACCAAAATAACAATAAGTTAAATATTATCAATTTTAAAATAAAATATTATTCAAATATAATCTTACAGCTAATTTTTCTTTACAAAAATTTGCTGTATAATCATTAGGGTAATATTTCTTATGCAGTCCTGATATATTATTTGAACCTATTAATACAGTTATTATAGGTGTTGTATTATCACACCATTCAAGTATTCCTGACCTTTGTGTTAATGGCACAACCTAAATATGCATAAATAAATATATAAAATAAATATTTAATATATTCAATATAATAAATTGAATTCTATAATAAATTAAAGAAAATGTTTAAAAAATACAAACAATGTATTGATATTACCTTATAAGTTCTAATTGTTAACTTCCTACGTTTGGTATCTTTATAAGACTTTAATAAAGTATTCATTACGTTAAAAACTTGTTGCATTACAGCATCTTGTCGTAAATCATCTCTTCCCTAAATAAATATATATTTAAATAATTTAAATTTAAATATATTGAAGTCTAATATTTTATTAATATTTTATTAATATTCTATTCATATAATTATTACTATTATAATTATTATATATTATATTCGTATAATTATTGTACGAATAAATGCATATATTATTTATAAATATATATATTAAATGTATATATTATTAATTTTTAATAGAATTAAGTATTAATTTGATATTAGAATATTTATAGATTACATACTTTTATTAATTGATGTCTTCGTATACCATCTGTACCAATACAAGTTAATTTTTTTGGAGTGTTCACACCTCCAACAGTTTCATATGTTTCTATGTATTTAGTAATACCAATAATATTACTATAATTTTTATATGGTTTTACGTTAATTGTTAATGTTGGTACAAATATATTTTCAAAATTTTTAATTTTTAAAATTTCTTGATTTCTTGGTATTTTTATTATACAACCTGCTACAGATAAAAAATATATTATAAATGATTTAAAACTGTTGTCAATATATCTTTTTATACATAATGATATGTATAATTATATATATAATAAATAAAATATTTTCATTAAAGTGCAATATACTTACATTTATTTGAAGTAGTTGGAAGATTGGCTAACATAACTAAAGCATGTGATAATTTTTCCATTTCTTGTAGAATTAAATTTGATTTTGTTAATTCTTTTAATAATCTTCGAGCTCCAAGAACTCTTGGTTCTAAAGTTTTACCTTTTTTAAATGTAGTATAATCATAATCACCATATAAATTTTTTAATGCTAATAATACTGGTAATGTATGATGAGGATGTTCTAAAGCACAACGTTTTATAATAAAATATATTTTTTCAGAAAATTCATTAAAATCATCATTCATATGTGCTGCTAATTGTGGCACAAGTGGAATAAATTTGAAAGATGGTATTTTATTTAAATTTTCTTGCAATAAATTATTAATTTCTTTTTGATGTATATTATCTAACCAAAGTGCTATTATTCTAAATATCAATAAATTATAATTTTCACTTTGTTGTAATGTGATTAAGTAATACCTAAGAATGAAAACATAATTTTTATTCTTTATAATATAATAAATAATAATAATTAATATTAGATAAAATTATATCAATTTTAATATAATTAAAAGATTTAATATAATTAATATAATTAAATTTAAATATTAATAAATATAATAAATAAAATATATATTTTTTTAATATATTAAAATATGAAACTAACTTTAATGCTAAAATTAAATAATTATCTCTTTCTTTCTGTATATGTTCCAGTTCTGCCACATCATTTGTATTTTGTCTTTGATTTAAAATCATTGCACTTCTAATATCTTTATCTTCAGTAATTGAATGTTCATTAATTCCTTTATAAGAGTATACAACACATTCTTTTAAATTTTCAAATTGAGGAGATTTCATATATATACTAATTTGCTCAAATTGATTATCAGCAAAACGAGCTAATGCTACTTGTGTATCATGTAAATCTTTAATAGTGTTAATATTTTGTGTAGTTCTTATAATTGATGTGTTTATATCTATAGATTTCAAATAATAATCCTTTATCACAGTCTGAAAGATAAGTATAAATTGTAAAATATTAGATAATTTCAGTTTTTTTCATAATTTAATTTTCTCTTATAATTTAGTCTAAATGTAAAGTATGTACTTGAGGATTTTCTGATTTTGTTTCAGCCATCCAATCTCCATAAACTCTTAATATTTGTGCTTGCAAATTTATATCCAAATCTTTCTTATACATTAAATTACGTAAAAGAAATCTTCCAACATATATATCCTTTCTAAGTCGTGCTAATAGAGATTCTTGATAAAGTAATTGATCTTGAATTTTTTGTGGTATATCTTTTTGTTTTGTCAAAATAGCTTTCATAAAAAAATTTATAATATATATATAATATATAAAAAAAATGTAATATAAAGTAGCAAAATAAAAATGAATTATTATAATTTATAATTAATTTAATATTATAACACTTTTTATTATATATACCTAGTGCACGAGTAGCAATTTGCAAGTCTTCTTTATCTGCTGCTATTTTTGATATTTGTAAATATGTATTAAAAAGTGCATTTTTAATATTTATATTATCAATTAAAATATTATTTATTTGAAACATTATAGTTCTTTGAGTTAAAATGGGTTCAATATATTGAAAATCACTAAAATTTGCAACATCTTGCTGTTGCCATTTATGCAATATTTGTTCATATTCATCTTGTTTAGCAAAACTTAATTCCTCAATCTCATTAATTAATTGTAATTGCATTAATTTTTCATATATAGTTTTATTACTTTCTAAAAATAATCAATTTTTAAATAAATATAAAAAATTAAAAATTTTAATAATTCTTACCTAGACTAATGCTTTTAAGTGCTTTTATAATGCTTATGCGAGCATTTTGAATTGCATCTTGTATACCTATTTTATTACCTTCATGAAAATATTTTAATGCTTGATAATGGTAAAAATTATAAT